TGAAGCAACGTGGGCGATCCGTGTGCGCGCAATTGGACGGCTGAGATCCGTTCCCGCGCGCACGGATGGCCCAGATCAAAAGCGCGTGTGGACGGCCCAGATTTCACGCGTACGGATGGTCCAGATCGCATCGTGATGGACAGCCCAGATTCATTTCTAATTTAATCGCGATCGGACGGTCCAGATTAAATAATGATAGACGGCTCAAATTAAAAGGGAAAGGTTATAAATAATCTGATCCACACCCAACCCCAAACCCTAGCCGCCAGAGCCCTCGCCGGAGAAGACAACCTAACCACCGGGAAAACCGACCGCCGCCGCACCGGAGCACTTTTCGGCCGCCAAACGAGGTAAAATTTCTCCCATTAGCTCGAATTTCGATGCTGAACCCACCTGTGGTAAAATTAGAGCCAAACCACCGGCCAACTGACCGAAAAATGCCGCCGAAGCCCAACGGCACTGCCGCAAATTTTCTCAGTTTTTGCCTCCGATGAGGCCCTTCCTGATTTCCGTTCGATGTAATTTTTACACCACTGTGACCACCATCCTTTTCTCTACAGGTTGACCGGAGCAAAATGCCAAATCGTGACTCGTGCCGGAGGAGCCACCGCACCCGAGAGCTCCGCCGCCAGTAAGTTTCGATTTTTTGTATTTTTTTGGTCCACCGAGGGTGCTACGTGTGTTTTTTCGTAGGAACTGGTGCTAGTTTGGCTTAATTCGGCCGAAAACGGTCGAAAACAGCCAACCCGAGGCAGATCGCCGTCGTGGGCGGCGGCACCGTCGTCGGAGCACGGCAGAGCCGCCGTGCCGAAATTCTAAAATTGGCCGAGGATGCCCTGGGTCTTATTTGGAGTTTTTTGGGGACATGTGCAGGTACCGAAAGTGTGTTTTAGTTCCCATAAAAAAATTCAGGGAATTTAGAGACTGCCCGTAAGCATAGTGAAAAACTGATTTTAGACTTCGAATCAAGTAAGGATCTTTCACCCTATTTCCTATCACAGCATTAAAGCTTAATAAATGATAAAACTGTATTTTATGAATTAATAGATATGTAAAATTAATTAAGGTTACTAATGGGGCCCGAATCTGATATATTTTCGGTCAATTACTGTTTTAGTTATTTTACAGTTTTAAATACATTATGGTGTCTGATATATTTATTTTATAGTTTTAAATGCATGAATCAATGTTTACTTCACTACTGCTTGATTTTGTGAATCCGATGATATGCCTGCATTGTTGGATGCTCGTTACTGGTTTAAATATTCATGATTATGTGATAAACATAAAACTAAAAAAAGAATAGAAAATGTATGTGAATTGATAAGTGGATAAGTCGATAGCCTCGCTAGATATCCTGGGAGAGGGTGGACGGACCGGGTCCATAGGGAACCCTACCGGGAACGTTGTCTCTCATACCGGATGGGTATGGAGACTTTAAATATTTTGGCGCTCATACCGGACGGGGTATAGGGACGGCCCGCTTCACCCCTATACCGGACGGGGTATTGAGATTTATGGTTTTGGCGCCCATACCGGACTGGGTATGGGGACGACCCTAGATTTAAGTTATTAAGGTGAATGGTTCACGTGTAGCGGGGACCCCTGTGGATCCCCATGGATACTGGTAGGCTGGTAAAATAGGAAATTTGTTGCCTGATGATTGAAATATTAAAAGTATGACATGTGTTATGTTACATAGTGCGTATGATTTTATGATATTATAATGTTATTATTTTCATAAGTTATTTTCATGAATCTCACCGAGGTAAGTGGACAGTAAAGAGTTTTATTATTGATAAATAAATTTGTTATAAATTATGCTCCATTGGTCGTTTTTGTTTTCTACCAACCTTTACTTCTATGACAGTGAGATAGTGTGACATCTTTACTGAGTTAGTGTACCTCATTCCTTACTTAACCATTTCATATTAGGAGAACTTGGTTCCCGAGCCCGTTCTGCAGGAAGACAGCGAGTAGATGCCTAAAGATTTTATAGTTTTTCTTATAGTATTCGTTTCTAGTATTTACTTTAGTTAGCTTATTCTTTCATACGTTTAATACGTTTTAGTTATTGTGTAATGGATGTTAATCATAATATTTTACTTCGCTTTCGCACTTAGAATTTTTATATATACGTTTCTTTTTAATTTCCGGGCCCGTTATATGTAAATCTCAACATTTTATTTCGATTCTACACTTAAATTATTATATATTTCTTTTTGAATTTCTGGGGTCGTTACGTATAATGTATATTTTTTTTG